GTATCTACTYATTTAATATCATTGATAACTTTATATAGAATTAAACCATTTGAAATATTAAAAATGTAACTAAAATAAACGTAAAAACTGGATCCACTGATGAACAATAATAAGCAAATACTCGTATTGCTATCAGTGCATTTTTATTTTAAATTAATTTTCGTTTAYATTTTGAAATTTAGTAGGTACCTATAGTTGATATTATTAACCATATTGAAGTTTGCAGTTACTTCATATATATTTGTAAGTAGGTAGTAGGTACTGACATTTAGTATTTACCTACAATGTAAACGTTTAGTTTAACTTATCTGATACATATTTTTAGACTCTATTTGGTGATAGGTGATAGGGTATTGGTCTCTTATAATCTTAATAATAGTGAATATCCCTCGTATTTTGGTGATTTAAGAAATAAAATAYAGATACATTGTAGTAGAGCTGGGAAGGTTAAACCACTCAAGTACTTAACCTAACACTTGGGCTCATAAAATAAAATTAAAACAATAAATAATTTCYTCCTACCGACCTACCTATAGGATATATGCAATAACGTATAATGTTTTAGATGGAAATAATTAAATATCATACTAAAATAATTTAAAAAAAAWTAGAATAAAATTATATGGTATAGATACTACATTAAATTGACAATATTTCCAAATAGGTATTTTTGGCGCCACTTAAATATTTTAGTATCTCTATAATATGTATGTCACCATTTAAAGGTTTTTATTAGCTTTATTATAATAATAATTTATTGAGAGCTTCATATAGGTAGCCTAATAAATAACTGCAGTCACATGTATTGTGTAATTATCATTTCAGTATATAGACCCGTCTAGAAATGTTAAATAATATACGGTATAATACTTCACCCCTGATCGCGAGACATGTCATTATTATGGGTACCTACTACCTACCCGTTTTTATATCCATAGGATRTTCATTATCATATATTTAATAATTCGTAAACACTTGCTAGGTACTATGCTGTTTTTTGTCCGGACGCGATTGACAATGCGAAATCGGATGATTTAGCAGGTTTACATCAGGGTTGGATGAACTTGAAATAATAAAAAACATGCCCGTCGTATGCTTTAAATGTAATACAGCGACAATGGTGTGACGACCGCGGGGGACCGGCTTATTTTATTATTATAAATTTATTGACACTCGTCTGAACAATGGAAAAACACCATGTTAAACACTGTTTGATGATACGACCGGTAACGATGACACACCAAAAAGAGACACTACATCAGTACATTGCACAATATATTATATAATATTATAAACATACACAACATACACACGCAAAAGCAATGATATTTATTTATATTCAATTAACTTCAGACGGGATTTTGATCGCGGGTAACCCTCACGAATACGCCTAGGGGCATTCATAGAAACAGTGATAGTGAGAGACAAAGAGAGAGACGAAGAGATACGGTCAATTAATCCCGCCGAAAAACCCGGCAAAGGTCTACACGGTACATTGGCCAYCCGATGTAAAGTTGCAGGCGAAACACATCTGTTGAGTTATACGCCCTATACGGTTATAGACCGAACCGCGTCGGAGGAAAGAATAACAAATATGATGCGTCCGTTTTGTATACTCTTCACATATGCTGCAGTCGTCATTACTCATTATACTTTGAATCAAGTCTGTTCTCATTCAGACGTATTGAAATAGATCATTCACTTAACAGTAGTAACATAGGTAACACAGTGTGATAATACAGTAATGTATAGGAGGGTATACACGGGTATACCCTGGCACCAATTTGCTGATTTAACGTTTATCCATTRCCCACGTATACCTTCAAAATAAATCAAAAATAAAATATTAATTACTTTCAATAAGGGGAATCTCCGCATTAACACCATAAGTTAATATTACTAATATTAGGTTAAGTTAGACATTTTTTTTTTGTGATAGGGTTAAACCCCCCGCCCCCCTGCCATAAACGTCTATGTGCTGATTCGTATCATAGGTACCTTAGAAAAAATTACAAATACATCACTGGTAACACGATATATTTTGAGTGAGTCTCGCAGTACACTCCTGGCCTATTCGGTAATAGAGATAATGTGGTACAGTGAAACCTCTTTTAATGGACACCTCTCGATAGCGGACGACGTTTAAGCGACCGAGAGTGTCCGGTATTTAGAGGTTTCACTGTATTTAGTATTACAAAACAAGAAATAATTTTTCAATTTAAAGATGATAGTTGTTTTCAAATTTTGTCAGTATATTATATACCACGGAATGATATTATATTTTTCTATTGTAAAATTATTTAGAAAAATCTCATGTACCTAAATTAACTGCATTGCCTAAATTATTAGGTACCCATGTGGCAATATGTACACCAGCAGCAGTAAACAAAAAAATAAATGTATATAAGTTTTTACAGCGTATATTTTACATTATTAGTATGATAAGTAAGATCATCATAGTACTTTTTATCTTAAATAATAATAGCCTTTTCCACTTTCAGTCTTATACATTTTGTGTTATAATTTCATCGAATTACTTCATCACGTTTAATTATAAGAATTTATTAAAATGTATTAACGGTCATCATATTATAATATAATCTTCTTCGTGGATAAAAAATTGAATAGCTTAATTTGAAACTTTACTATAAAAATAAAAATAAATTTTCATCCCTACATTTTGATTTAAATTACAAATTACTATTTACTTTTGAAATTCAGTATATTTATTCTAAAGCGTTTAAAAAAGTCAATAATTTCATATTTAAACGTATTTATTAATTCATAATATACCTATATAAATATGTATAAATATAAACAACCACGACAAATATAAAAATAACACTCTACAACTGTAGAATATAATTTATTAATTTTAAAAGAAATTGACCAATATAATAATAGTATATTATAATATTTAAGAATTAAAATAAATAACGTACATTTAGTTTAATTCATAAGATATAAGATATTTAATGATTTAAAATACTTTGTTTAGATTAAATGTATAAGCATTTTTAATTCAGCAGCTTAAATAAAATAACTATGTCTGTTTGTGCTCGTGTAGTCTTGTTGGGGTAACTTAAATTTTATAATATACTATTATTATATTGGTCAATTTCTTTTGAAATTCAGTATATTTATTCTAAAGCGTTTAAAAAAGTCAATAATTTCATATTTAAACGTATTTATTAATTCATAATATACCTATATAAATATGTATAAATATAAACAACCACGACAAATATAAAAATAACACTCTACAACTGTAGAATATAATTTATTAATTTTAAAAGAAATTGACCAATATAATAATAGTATATTATAATATTTAAGAATTAAAATAAATAACGTACATTTAGTTTAATTCATAAGATATAAGATATTTAATGATTTAAAATACTTTGTTTAGATTAAATGTATAAGCATTTTTAATTCAGCAGCTTAAATAAAATAACTATGTCTGTTTGTGCTCGTGTAGTCTTGTTGGGGTAACTTAAATTTTATGCATGATTAAGAATATTAAACTCGAATATGAAAAGGAAATCGAATGAAAAAATTATACAAATATTTCAACTTTACGGTTAGTATACGCTGTATAATAGGTATATACCTAAATAGTAAATACCGTCATAATTATTAAACACATTTTTATACATATAGACTGAATGATAATAACCATCATGCATGTGAGAAGGGTGCAGGTTAAGAGGGGTGGAAGTTTAAAAAAAAGGTAAAAAGAGAAGTAAATAGACACGTCGCTGTCGGCCTTTTGAACGTGCCTTTTAAATAAAAGGCCGATGCCACCTCCATCAACGAATCAAAGGTCCTGCATGCGCGCGTGTTTAAACGGAACCGAACTTTATTGGATTTAAGAGGTGGAAAGTAAACATCACGTTTACATTTATACACACACACACACACATATATATATATATATATCCAAAGTCAAACTTCTCTATATATAGTATAAGCAGTAGGTTTTTGTGATGCAAGGCTGAACAACACTAAGAGTATATAGAGTATAGTGCGGTGGTGTATACACAAGATTCAGAGGGGGGAGGGGGAGATGGAAAAACAAAAAAAGGGGATAAACGAGAGAAAAACAATATATACCCGTGCATCTCTAGTAGTATGACGTACACTCTCTTTGCACAACAGTATAGCAGCAACAGCAGTCATAAGTATACACAAGACCTACGGACTTTTGTGCGAAGTTTATCCGCCAAGGGGTTTTGCGCTGTTTGTTTAGGACGAAAAAGATAACCTTTTAAAAACGGACCAAATACTAGCGTCCGCGCTCCCGTTGATTAACAGTGGGTGAAGAGTGATGCGGTTGTTGGTTGTGGGTAGTGGGTGTGTATACAGACGGAATTTTACTGACGCTGTTCTACTATTATAAGCAATATATTATACATACATACTGCATGTGAATATATGTATGCATAATGTAGGTACTATACGGATGTTTTGAAGTCACTTAACTTTATATAGGTATTGTACTATTGTAGTATTGTGTTCGTATAGCATATACATTATACATACTTTAAATAAGCCTTAATGATAAGTGGGGACAAGTATAACGAAGAATGATACAAAATAATAACCTATGCATAATTAAGTAAACGGATTTCGATTTAAAACCACGAAATATCTTCTCTATGATTGGAATGCACTAGGACTAGGTAATGCCTATGCCCTATATGGCTATATCATGTATATGTATATATAGGATAATATTATATAACTTATAGATATATAGTGATGCCTGATTTATAAGGCTTGTATTTTTTCTTTTTCTTTTTTTAAGGGATTACGAATCCTATCATATCAGTTTGATACTCAAAATTAGTCGAGGGTCGCAATTATAATAATATATGTCATGTCATAGTGCCGTACGCTCATAAACTTACCATATTATTAAACCTCTTGAATAATATATTATAGACTTACAGCTGGACAGTTGGTTATTGTAAAACTAAATGAAATTATTTTTAAAGGTGTGGTTTCAAAATCGTCGGGCAAAATTCCGAAAACAGGAAAGGCTGGCTCAGCAAAAATCGTCGCAATCCAGCAGCAGTAGCACGGTAGACGCGACTAGCATAAAAACCGAGCCTAAACAATGCGGTCAATCAAAAGACGGCAAGCCTGGAACACCGTCCACACCGGGCAGCATATCTTCGAACAACGGTTCTTCGGATATGAAATCAGTCAACGGATCAGGTAAATTTTAAAAACGGATAATATTTTTAGCGTAAAATTACATATTAAAAATTTCATCATTAAACACTATAGGTAGGATAATACATAGAAGAAAAACGTCAATTACGTATTGACAAAAATATACACATTAATTTATAATATACATATATATTATATATATAAATTGATTGTATTCATAAAAAATAGAAATTAAAACAAAGAAAACGTGTAATAACTGTCTATAATAATAATAATATGTGAAGACTACTCTACGAACTTTTTTAAAAATATTTTATAAATGAATGTGAGACTACATTATATTTTACTTTACTAAGGCATCTATAACGTTCGATACATCGATAGTCACCCAGACTTTTTCGGTTAGGTCTCTAACCACGAACTGAGCTATATAGGGTTCCTAAACCCAAAGCCTTGTGAATTCTTTTATTGTATATTATATGTTTTAAAGTGGTAGAAATTAGAATCAAGAGTTGGTAAACCAAGAACGAGGGAATTAATTAATATGAAATGTTTGAGATAAAAAAAATTATAAATTTGTAGACATTGGTTAATTTAAATGAATGGAAAGATGTATTTAAATTAAATTTGGTACCAATAGAAAGACTCTGAATAAGAGTAACAAAATAAATTCAAAGTAAAATTTATATTATGATGATGATAAATAATTAAAATAGCGCCGTAACAGCGTTACGTCTTTCGTCGTCTCCGTGATGTGGTTATAATATATTATAGTATAACCTATCATATTGTGATTTTCAGAAAATATTATATTCGAATCAAAAATTCGAAAAACAGACTATATATCGATGTAATACAATTATACCACGCATTATCTTAATCTTATATTATATAAGAATATAAGATACCTGTGTCGCGATGATTTGACACATAATATGATGTTAGAATTTAATTATTCAATGTATAACCAGGCCATTGGAGTGTGCAAACCCTATCAGCCAGCTCACAATAAATAAAAAAAAGCCATCCTGCAGATGAGTTCATAAAAAAACAAACAAAACGAAGACGTAGAACATATCGTATGTCTATAGTAAACAATTAACATATTAGCATGCTGAGATAATATATCTATATTGGGTATTTGGGTATATATAATTATAATTATATAYATATTAATTAATTATATATTAATTATAACCATAATTKTATATACAATAGTTATATATTATATTATACCTATTACCTATACATTAAAATATTTAATAACTCCTTATAATGAAATACTACGATACCACGTACTTACTGATTTTTCGGTTGTACCTACTAAAGGAGTTTCTGTTATATGACAACTAATTGGATAGGTCGTATAGGACTGTTATTATTCTTAAATGATAAAAGATTTCCGTCTTATAGGAGGGCCATTATAAGAAGGTTTTAATGTTTATGGTTTCGGGATTTCGGTAAGATGTTTTTCAGGTCCGCGACCAAATTGAGCTATGTAATTTATTGAAAAGCTTATAGGAGTTTTATATGTATTAAAAACCAAAAGCATGCAATCAGGTGGCAAATATACTGCATTTTTAAATCGGCTACTGGTTGCGCGTGGCCGTATACTTCTGCAGCTGCAGTGTATATTATAATATATTATATAGACGTCGGAATAATGCGATATCGAGGGTAAAGGACGAGACGCAGCAACAGGGTTATGACAAATGGACACGGTCGTGGCAGAAGATCGAAAATGTACAAAATGWTGTTTATAATATATCATTATTCTACGATATTTTCGCGGTATCGCCGTAGCAGAAGTCAGACGGGGGACGATTGGACCACGAAAGCGAATAGAGTGGAAAAAAATCGTTTCTCGAGGGTTTGGGTCTGACTACTCCGGCGCAGATGACTGATTATTTTCGTGAGACCGACGGAATAAATCTGAAAAGTAGTATATAAAGACGTCGAGAACGCGAGAAGCGAACGCGTCGGCGACGGGGAAGTGGTATATGGTGGTGGGGAATAGCAGGACGAGAGACGGTGTGGTATATAAATCCAAAAGAAACGCGAGCCGATCACATACACACACATATATATATATATACAAGTAAAGTCTGCGCCGACCGACCTCACTAGGGCCTCCACCCGTCCAGACATCTCTTCTCACGAACCCCCCTAGGCCACACCCACACTTTTATACATTACACGGTATGGCTGCTGCTACTGCTGCGGCTCAATTCGCCCTCTGCCGCCTTTGCCCACCCGGCCAGCGCGTCGCATTCRCATTAAAACGTACGATCGGCCGTGGCGCGCGTGCAGTGTCGGAGAGACGCTTTCTATAGCGCCGTGACGTTTAATCTAGAAAATTGCTGTTGGTTACGTCGTTCGTTTCCATTAGTGTCAGACGACCCGAAGGACACATATGTACTGTACACACACACACACACGCACACATATATACGTGGGAGGTACGTTCGAGACAGCGAGTGAGAGAGATGATGCGGCAGATCGTTCGGCGAAGAGGAGTGCAGACGATAATTTGTTCTGGTTGGCGGGTAGGTGGGCTACATGCCGTCGGGGAAGGGTAGGGTGAAAGAAAGAAAAACTGTTACAAAGACAATGCAAAGGGGGTTGGGGAGCAAAAACTGTACAGATATATGTGTGTGTGTGTGTGTGTGTGTGGCCGGTGCCACGGCGGCGGTCGTCGATGATCCACTTTGACAGCGAACAACAACAATCCGGCGGCGGTGTAACGGTGGCGATTAAAAGTTAACTATGATAATAGATTTTTCTCCCCGAACATCACGGACGGGTGCGATTAATCCCAACAACCCCCCTCACAATCCGAACGCTTTAAATCACGCGCTCGAGCCCTGTAGAATGGTTCCATATATTTTATCGTCACCGGCCGAATGAGGCGAACACGCGGGCGAGGCGCGCTGAAACTACAGCCGTGCCTTTAAGAACGCGTTGATAAATCACTGCACAACGTTACATTAGAGCTAAGGCCGACCACGACAACTGACGAACCTATTTACGAAAATGTTTGTCCTACAAACAAAATTCGAAACAAATACAAGTGCCAATGCAGTGTTATATATATATATCAGAGACGGACAGCGTAGATCTGGTTCATGTATAAGCTTCTGGCCTAGTAACTTTCGATAGGCTCCATAAAACATTTAAAACAAATTTAATCGTTTTTAATACATTGCAATAAAATTGTTTTATTTTCAACTAAAAATAACTGGCCATGGGGCCTACCAATTACCGAGTAGCTGGTGATGGATTMATTATAGACGACGACGGTGGTGTATTTACGAGGACACCCTCAGGYCGGTTTATTTTACATAATTTKAATATCCTTTAATTGTTTACATATCGTTGAAATACATTGGATACCGTATACCGCATCAGTAAGCTAGACGTGCTGTTTGGCGTTTGTCTGCAATATTATTTCACATAATTGTCACTGATACCAAGCTCTTTGGCGTTCAAAGCGTCTAGTTAAAGAACAAAGACACTACCCCATGATTCTGAAGTCAACAAAAGTAATGAAATCCTTCAAATCCACAACATAAAACCTAACCGTTAGAAAAGTCCAATTAACAAAAAAAAAGTCAGTCTATCACTGTTGTGATATCTGCATTATGACCAAGTCTTTCTTAAATCAATAACTAGGTACACTTCACTCCTATACTTTCACGAATGACACGAATAACACAATAATGCTCTTTTATTTTTACTGTTTAACACTTAGATATGGTCAGTTGTATAGCAATCTGACGAGTGTGTCGAGAGGGCGATGTAAAGGAAAAAACTCAACAAAAAAAACCAAATTTTAAAAATTTTAAATAATTTCCCGTATACTTGCATATAACCAGCGATGGTGTGTCACAAATATCTAATTATTGGGCCCTAATCTAATTGAGAATAGGCCGGACGACAACAAATACTTTTTCACTCATTTTCTATAACTGAATAACGGGAAATACCTATTGTGGTATACAATGAATAAAATTATTATTTATTACAATAAGGACGGCAGCGGTAGTAACGGTAGAGATTATAACGTCGGTTGTCGTTAGCGCATCATTATTGTTAATTTTGACCTCTTTTGTAAGACAATTACTTATCGTTTGATTTTTGGGTTATACATCGTATATGCGCATCGACCGTTTAAAAGGYCCTACATCATTATTATTTAACAATATAAATTAACAAAGGTGTACACCCAAAGCGYAAGTTGTTTTCTAACTTTGGTCTTAAAATATCTAAATAATTTTCAAATATCGCATAGATATAATGCTATACCAAGTATAAATGTAATGTTGTATAATTAAATTTTCGATTTTTGATGAATTTTGTCGAAATTTGAACTTAAAATATTTATGTATAATGTTTATAATTTTTATTTTAAGTTTAAAAATCTTAAATTATATTCATTCTCAATATATAATATTAATTATTATACATCATTTAATACCATTTTTTATACCCTTTTTATTGATCATTTGATGCGCATTTGATGTACGATTATATTAAGTACTGATAAATAGACAATGTGCAGACGATTATCTATCGATGATGCGCAAACAATGCAAGATATTTTTGGACAGGTAAACAGACGACGCGCAAATGATATACGACCGTTTATAATCACGAATAATGATATAGGTATTAAGGTATCTTAATTCATGTTTATAATATACCGCAGTTAGTCATTTGCATTCGAACAGCTAGGTAGACCACTGCGGCCGCGTAAGTTTATGACCTCACAGGATAATTTCTCTGAATAATATAGCATGATATTTACATAATCGTGACCATAAATGCGTATCTTATTAAAATTATGTGGTTATAATATAACGTTAACAAATAATATACAAATCATAATATTATCATATAATATTCGTTATATCAGTATGAACCAACTATAAAGATGCACTAACGGGTTATCGTGTTTTTACAGGCAAAGGATTTTGCGCCTGGTSCAGTATTCATTTTTAATCGAGAAAAGAAAAGAAAAATACACAGTCCRCTTTTTTCCCTTATTAAGGCCTAAGTAAAATGTGCGCGAATTAAAGAAAAAAAAWATATAATAGTATTAGGTATAAAAAGGCGTWTAAACCGTTCAATTCATATTGGCTCCCAGCAATAAATTGATAAAATTAAAAAAACTGTGGTCTAAAATCTATATTTTCTATATAATACAATAYAGTTTTTGGAYCACTGGATTTTAAAAATCGTTGGATTTTTAAACGATTATCGAGTGGMTCCAAGACAAACAGGACRATTTATACAAGTATACAATTTTATTATATGATCGAGTAAAATATGGTCGTTTAGTATTAACATATTGCAATATCGTCAGGAGCTAACCAGTAAAATATAAAACARCTGAGTAGGGTCTTGAGGCTCTGTAGATATTACWACCGTAATCAGGAGCARATAGGTGTATAGATRTTAAATTTCTTTAAATAAGCCAGTCTTGTTAATTATACAATCGAATACTTGTATTTAAATACTTTCAAAGTACTTATTCTTTGTATYATATTCAAACTATTCAAAGATWCTAAAYACTTTTTTCATCGTCGTATTTCAATGATCAATATTTTTGTTTTGTTATATGTTAAAAATTAGTCCTCAAATAATATTTCATAAGGCTTTTATGTATTTTTAAGATTTCATTAAGCATGAAATAATACTTAAAATTCGTTAATCAATTAAAAAACATATTATTTACTAATTGTTAAATTTAAATATTTATTACATTTTCGATAAACCTAAAAGTATTTTATCATACTACAAAAAAGTACTTTTAAATACTCTTAAAATGTATTTGTATGTATATTAAAATACTTTTGAAAGAAATTATTGGAATACGTATTTGAGTATTTTAAATTTAAATGTCGCCAAGTATTTAAATACGTATTCTGAATACATTAGAAAAGTGTTATTAGCAAAACTTGTATAAATAATCAAGGCTCGATTTCAGTTACTTTCTATTAGGTTTTTTTTGCCTACTATATACTCACGAATATTATTACTTACCTACAAAGTTGGTAAATCAAGTTATACAACAGTTTGTTGATTGTATAAGTATCGTAGTCATACAAAGTTCATATTATACTCGTAGTAATATCAAAGTTCAAATGTGTTGATGACTAAAGTCTAAATCTCGTCTATTGGTAATAGGAAAAACACCTTACAGTAAATAATTGTATATTAATATATTGGTGTGGTAGCAACATCCGAGTCGAAACCAGCTATGACAGAATAAACTGCATCGTAGTACATATTTATTGCTGACAAAAAATGATTATTGTAAATTATATAAGCAATAAAAATAATTTGGTGTGGTGGGAGTTTGAGACTTTGCCACTCTGAGGTAATACCAGATAAACGTGAGATGACACATACGTCTGGATATGTTGATAAAGCATATTTTGTATGGTGCATCATAACAAATGTAAATAAAAGTGATCGTAACGAAAACTCTTGGTTTGAATCCAAAAGTCATTGGTGGCACCAGGGAAATAATATTTATATTTATACGTAATAGTTGTAGGTACCACTTTTTACTGTGAAATAGGTTGTACAACGTATAATGTACTTGGTACATGACAAATGAATATGACAAAGAAGGATAATTAAAATGTCTAAAAAATCATCAACAAAATGTGATAAACTAATAAACTGAAGCACTTAACAATTATTTATATGTTCACATGGTCGATRGAGTATAATAGTATATTTTTATATCATAATCTACTGATATCATTCATTCATCTTATTACGTCAACTCACTCGAGTTTTTTTCCCCGTAATTTAACGCCACGTTGAAGTGTGAATCTTTAATTTAATTTATTTAACGCTACACAATAATAGTAAAAAAGTAATAACGACACGTTATTCGTTGTGTGTTTTATAAAAAGAGTAATATGTATTTTAAACATTACGTACACGGTACACGGCCAAAAAAATTCGTCGTACGTATAATGTTTTATTCGGTATAAAAAGTCAGTGCAGAACATACGTATANTATACGCTGTATAATAGGTATATACCTAAATAGTAAATACCGTCATAATTATTAAACACATTTTTATACATATAGACTGAATGATAATAACCATCATGCATGTGAGAAGGGTGCAGGTTAAGAGGGGTGGAAGTTTAAAAAAAAGGTAAAAAGAGAAGTAAATAGACACGTCGCTGTCGGCCTTTTGAACGTGCCTTTTAAATAAAAGGCCGATGCCACCTCCATCAACGAATCAAAGGTCCTGCATGCGCGCGTGTTTAAACGGAACCGAACTTTATTGGATTTAAGAGGTGGAAAGTAAACATCACGTTTACATTTATACACACACACACACACATATATATATATATATATCCAAAGTCAAACTTCTCTATATATAGTATAAGCAGTAGGTTTTTGTGATGCAAGGCTGAACAACACTAAGAGTATATAGAGTATAGTGCGGTGGTGTATACACAAGATTCAGAGGGGGGAGGGGGAGATGGAAAAACAAAAAAAGGGGATAAACGAGAGAAAAACAATATATACCCGTGCATCTCTAGTAGTATGACGTACACTCTCTTTGCACAACAGTATAGCAGCAACAGCAGTCATAAGTATACACAAGACCTACGGACTTTTGTGCGAAGTTTATCCGCCAAGGGGTTTTGCGCTGTTTGTTTAGGACGAAAAAGATAACCTTTTAAAAACGGACCAAATACTAGCGTCCGCGCTCCCGTTGATTAACAGTGGGTGAAGAGTGATGCGGTTGTTGGTTGTGGGTAGTGGGTGTGTATACAGACGGAATTTTACTGACGCTGTTCTACTATTATAAGCAATATATTATACATACATAATACATGTGAATATATGTATGCATAATGTAGGTACTATACGGATGTTTTGAAGTCACTTAACTTTATATAGGTATTGTACTATTGTAGTATTGTGTTCGTATAGCATATACATTATACATACTTTAAATAAGCCTTAATGATAAGTGGGGACAAGTATAACGAAGAATGATACAAAATAATAACCTATGCATAATTAAGTAAACGGATTTCGATTTAAAACCACGAAATATCTTCTCTATGATTGGAATGCACTAGGACTAGGTAATGCCTATGCCCTATATGGCTATATCATGTATATGTATATATAGGATAATATTATATAACTTATAGATATATAGTGATGCCTGATTTATAAGGCTTGTATTTTTTCTTTTTCTTTTTTTAAGGGATTACGAATCCTATCATATCAGTTTGATACTCAAAATTAGTCGAGGGTCGCAATTATAATAATATATGTCATGTCATAGTGCCGTACGCTCATAAACTTACCATATTATTAAACCTCTTGAATAATATATTATAGACTTACAGCTGGACAGTTGGTTATTGTAAAACTAAATGAAATTATTTTTAAAGGTGTGGTTTCAAAATCGTCGGGCAAAATTCCGAAAACAGGAAAGGCTGGCTCAGCAAAAATCGTCGCAATCCAGCAGCAGTAGCACGGTAGACGCGACTAGCATAAAAACCGAGCCTAAACAATGCGGTCAATCAAAAGACGGCAAGCCTGGAACACCGTCCACACCGGGCAGCATATCTTCGAACAACGGTTCTTCGGATATGAAATCAGTCAACGGATCAGGTAAATTTTAAAAACGGATAATATTTTTAGCGTAAAATTACATATTAAAAATTTCATCATTAAACACTATAGGTAGGATAATACATAGAAGAAAAACGTCAATTACGTATTGACAAAAATATACACATTAATTTATAATATACATATATATTATATATATATAAATTGATTGTATTCATAAAAAATAGAAATTAAAACAAAGAAAACGTGTAATAACTGTCTATAATAATAATAATATGTGAAGACTACTCTACGAACTTTTTTAAAAATATTTTATAAATGAATGTGAGACTACATTATATTTTACTTTACTAAGGCATCTATAACGTTCGATACATCGATAGTCACCCAGACTTTTTCGGTTAGGTCTCTAACCACGAACTGAGCTATATAGGGTTCCTAAACCCAAAGCCTTGTGAATTCTTTTATTGTATATTATATGTTTTAAAGTGGTAGAAATTAGAATCAAGAGTTGGTAAACCAAGAACGAGGGAATTAATTAATATGAAATGTTTGAGATAAAAAAAATTATAAATTTGTAGACATTGGTTAATTTAAATGAATGGAAAGATGTATTTAAATTAAATTTGGTACCAATAGAAAGACTCTGAATAAGAGTAACAAAATAAATTCAAAGTAAAATTTATATTATGATGATGATAAATAATTAAAATAGCGCCGTAACAGCGTTACGTCTTTCGTCGTCTCCGTGATGTGGTTATAATATATTATAGTATAACCTATCATATTGTGATTTTCAGAAAATATTATATTCGAATCAAAAATTCGAAAAACAGACTATATATCGATGTAATACAATTATACCACGCATTATCTTAATCTTATATTATATAAGAATATAAGATACCTGTGTCGCGATGATTTGACACATAATATGATGTTAGAATTTAATTATTCAATGTATAACCAGGCCATTGGAGTGTGCAAACCCTATCAGCCAGCTCACAATAAATAAAAAAAAGCCATCCTGCAGATGAGTTCATAAAAAAACAAACAAAACGAAGACGTAGAACATATCGTATGTCTATAGTAAACAATTAACATATTAGCATGCTGAGATAATATATCTATATTGGGTATTTGGGTATATATAATTATAATTATATAYATATTAATTAATTATATATTAATTATAACCATAATTKTATATACAATAGTTATATATTATATTATACCTATTACCTATACATTAAAATATTTAATAACTCCTTATAATGAAATACTACGATACCACGTACTTACTGATTTTTCGGTTGTACCTACTAAAGGAGTTTCTGTTATATGACAACTAATTGGATAGGTCGTATAGGACTGTTATTATTCTTAAATGATAAAAGATTTCCGTCTTATAGGAGGGCCATTATAAGAAGGTTTTAATGTTTATGGTTTCGGGATTTCGGTAAGATGTTTTTCAGGTCCGCGACCAAATTGAGCTATGTAATTTATTGAAAAGCTTATAGGAGTTTTATATGTATTAAAAACCAAAAGCATGCAATCAGGTGGCAAATATACTGCATTTTTAAATCGGCTACTGGTTGCGCGTGGCCGTATACTTCTGCAGCTGCAGTGTATATTATAATATATTATATAGACGTCGGAATAATGCGATATCGAGGGTAAAGGACGAGACGCAGCAACAGGGTTATGACAAATGGACACGGTCGTGGCAGAAGATCGAAAATGTACAAAATGWTGTTTATAATATATCATTATTCTACGATATTTTCGCGGTATCGCCGTAGCAGAAGTCAGACGGGGGACGATTGGACCACGAAAGCGAATAGAGTGGAAAAAAATCGTTTCTCGAGGGTTTGGGTCTGACTACTCCGGCGCAGATGACTGATTATTTTCGTGAGACCGACGGAATAAATCTGAAAAGTAGTATATAAAGACGTCGAGAACGCGAGAAGCGAACGCGTCGGCGACGGGGAAGTGGTATATGGTGGTGGGGAATAGCAGGACGAGAGACGGTGTGGTATATAAATCCAAAAGAAACGCGAGCCGATCACATACACACACATATATATATATATACAAGTAAAGTCTGCGCCGACCGACCTCACTAGGGCCTCCACCCGTCCAGACATCTCTTCTCACGAACCCCCCTAGGCCACACCCACACTTTTATACATTACACGGTATGGCTGCTGCTACTGCTGCGGCTCAATTCGCCCTCTGCCGCCTTTGCCCACCCGGCCAGCGCGTCGCATTCACATTAAAACGTACGATCGGCCGTGGCGCGCGTGCAGTGTCGGAGAGACGCTATTTCTATAGCGCCGTGACGTTTAATCTAGAAAATTGCTGTTGGTTACGTCGTTCGTTTCCATTAGTGTCAGACGACCCGAAGGACACATATGTACTGTACACACACACACACACGCACACATATATACGTGGGAGGTACGTTCGAGACAGCGAGTGAGAGAGATGATGCGGCAGATCGTTCGGCGAAGAGGAGTGCAGACGATAATTTGTTCTGGTTGGCGGGTAGGTGGGCTACATGCCGTCGGGGAAGGGTAGGGTGAAAGAAAGAAAAACTGTTACAAAGACAATGCAAAGGGGGTTGGGGAGCAAAAACTGTACAGATATATGTGTGTGTGTGTGTGTGTGTGTGGCCGGTGCCACGGCGGCGGTCGTCGATGATCCACTTTGACAGCGAACAACAACAATCCGGCGGCGGTGTAACGGTGGCGATTAAAAGTTAACTATGATAATAGATTTTTCTCCCCGAACATCACGGACGGGTGCGATTAATCCCAACAACCCCCCTCACAATCCGAACGCTTTAAATCACGCGCTCGAGCCCTGTAGAATGGTTCCATATATTTTATCGTCACCGGCCGAATGAGGCGAACACGCGGGCGAGGCGCGCTGAAACTACAGCCGTGCCTTTAAGAACGCGTTGATAAATCACTGCACAACGTTACATTAGAGCTAAGGCCGACCACGACAACTGACGAACCTATTTACGAAAATGTTTGTCCTACAAACAAAATTCGAAACAAATACAAGTGCCAATGCAGTGTTATATATATATATCAGAGACGGACAGCGTAGATCTGGTTCATGTATAAGCTTCTGGCCTAGTAACTTTCGATAGGCTCCATAAAACATTTAAAACAAATTTAATCGTTTTTAATACATTGCAATAAAATTGTTTTATTTTCAACTAAAAATAACTGGCCATGGGGCCTACCAATTACCGAGTAGCTGGTGATGGATTMATTATAGACGACGACGGTGGTGTATTTACGAGGACACCCTCAGGYCGGTTTATTTTACATAATTTKAATATCCTTTAATTGTTTACATATCGTTGAAATACATTGGATACCGTATACCGCATCAGTAAGCTAGACGTGCTGTTTGGCGTTTGTCTGCAATATTATTTCACATAATTGTCACTGATACCAAGCTCTTTGGCGTTCAAAGCGTCTAGTTAAAGAACAAAGACACTACCCCATGATTCTGAAGTCAACAAAAGTAATGAAATCCTTCAAATCCACAACATAAAACCTAACCGTTAGAAAAGTCCAATTAACAAAAAAAAAGTCAGTCTATCACTGTTGTGATATCTGCATTATGACCAAGTCTTTCTTAAATCAATAACTAGGTACACTTCACTCCTATACTTTCACGAATGACACGAATAACACAATAATGCTCTTTTATTTTTACTGTTTAACACTTAGATATGGTCAGTTGTATAGCAATCTGACGAGTGTGTCGAGAGGGCGATGTAAAGGAAAAAACTCAACAAAAAAAACCAAATTTTAAAAATTTTAAATAATTTCCCGTATACTTGCATATAACCAGCGATGGTGTGTCACAAATATCTAATTATTGGGCCCTAATCTAATTGAGAATAGGCCGGACGACAACAAATACTTTTTCACTCATTTTCTATAACTGAATAACGGGAAATACCTATTGTGGTATACAATGAATAAAATTATTATTTATTACAATAAGGACGGCAGCGGTAGTAACGGTAGAGATTATAACGTCGGTTGTCGTTAGCGCATCATTATTGTTAATTTTGACCTCTTTTGTAAGACAATTACTTATCGTTTGATTTTTGGGTTATACATCGTATATGCGCATCGACCGTTTAAAAGGYCCTACATCATTATTATTTAACAATATAAATTAACAAAGGTGTACACCCAAAGCGYAAGTTGTTTTCTAACTTTGGTCTTAAAATATCTAAATAATTTTCAAATATCGCATAGATATAATGCTATACCAAGTATAAATGTAATGTTGTATAATTAAATTTTCGATTTTTGATGAATTTTGTCGAAATTTGAACTTAAAATATTTATGTATAATGTTTATAATTTTTATTTTAAGTTTAAAAATCTTAAATTATATTCATTCTCAATATATAATATTAATTATTATACATCATTTAATACCATTTTTTATACCCTTTTTATTGATCATTTGATGCGCATTTGATGTACGATTATATTAAGTACTGATAAATAGACAATGTGCAGACGATTATCTATCGATGATGCGCAAACAATGCAAGATATTTTTGGACAGGTAAACAGACGACGCGCAAATGATATACGACCGTTTATAATCACGAATAATGATATAGGTATTAAGGTATCTTAATTCATGTTTATAATATACCGCAGTTAGTCATTTGCATTCGAACAGCTAGGTAGACCACTGCGGCCGCGTAAGTTTATGACCTCACAGGATAATTTCTCTGAATAATATAGCATGATATTTACATAATCGTGACCATAAATGCGTATCTTATTAAAATTATGTGGTTATAATATAACGTTAACAAATAATATACAAATCATAATATTATCATATAATATTCGTTATATCAGTATGAACCAACTATAAAGATGCACTAACGGGTTATCGTGTTTTTACAGGCAAAGGATTTTGCGCCTGGTSCAGTATTCATTTTTAATCGAGAAAAGAAAAGAAAAATACACAGTCCRCTTTTTTCCCTTATTAAGGCCTAAGTAAAATGTGCGCGAATTAAAGAAAAAAAAWATATAATAGTATTAGGTATAAAAAGGCGTWTAAACCGTTCAATTCATATTGGCTCCCAGCAATAAATTGATAAAATTAAAAAAACTGTGGTCTAAAATCTATATTTTCTATATAATACAATAYAGTTTTTGGAYCACTGGATTTTAAAAATCGTTGGATTTTTAAACGATTATCGAGTGGMTCCAAGACAAACAGGACRATTTATACAAGTATACAATTTTATTATATGATCGAGTAAAATATGGTCGTTTAGTATTAACATATTGCAATATCGTCAGGAGCTAACCAGTAAAATATAAAACARCTGAGTAGGGTCTTGAGGCTCTGTAGATATTACWACCGTAATCAGGAGCARATAGGTGTATAGATRTTAAATTTCTTTAAATAAGCCAGTCTTGTTAATTATACAATCGAATACTTGTATTTAAATACTTTCAAAGTACTTATTCTTTGTATYATATTCAAACTATTCAAAGATWCTAAAYACTTTTTTCATCGTCGTATTTCAATGATCAATATTTTTGTTTTGTTATATGTTAAAAATTAGTCCTCAAATAATATTTCATAAGGCTTTTATGTATTTTTAAGATTTCATTAAGCATGAAATAATACTTAAAATTCGTTAATCAATTAAAAAACATATTATTTACTAATTGTTAAATTTAAATATTTATTACATTTTCGATAAACCTAAAAGTATTTTATCATACTACAAAAAAGTACTTTTAAATACTCTTAAAATGTATTTGTATGTATATTAAAATACTTTTGAAAGAAAGTATTGGAATACGTATTTGAGTATTTTAAATTTAAATGTCACCAAGTATTTAAATACGTATTCTGAATACATTTGAAAAGTGTTATTAGCAAAACTTGTATAAATAATCAAGGCTCGATTTCAGTTACTTTCTATTAGGTTTTTTTGCCTACTATATACTCACGAATATTATTACTTACCTACAAAGTTGGTAAATCAAGTTATACAACAGTTTGTTGATTGTATAAGTATCGTAGTCATACAAAGTTCATATTATACTCGTAGTAATATCAAAGTTCAAATGTGTTGATGACTAAAGTCTAAATCTCGTCTATTGGTAATAGGAAAAACACCTTACAGTAAATAATTGTATATTAATATATTGGTGTGGTAGCAACATCCGAGTCGAAACCAGCTATGACAGAATAAACTGCATCGTAGTACATATTTATTGCTGACAAAAAATGATTATTGTAAATTATATAAGCAATAAAAATAATTTGGTGTGGTGGGAGTTTGAGACTTTGCCACTCTGAGGTAATACCAGATAAACGTGAGATGACACATACGTCTGGATATGTTGATAAAGCATATTTTGTATGGTGCATCATAACAAATGTAAATAAAAGTGATCGTAACGAAAACTCTTGGTTTGAATCCAAAAGTCATTGGTGGCACCAGGGAAATAATATTTATATTTATACGTAATAGTTGTAGGTACCACTTTTTACTGTGAAATAGGTTGTACAACGTATAATGTACTTGGTACATGACAAATGAATATGACAAAGAAGGATAATTAAAATGTCTAAAAAATCATCAACAAAATGTGATAAACTAATAAACTGAAGCACTTAACAATTATTTATATGTTCACATGGTCGATRGAGTATAATAGTATATTTTTATATCATAATCTACTGATATCATTCATTCATCTTATTACGTCAACTCACTCGAGTTTTTTTCCCCGTAATTTAACGCCACGTTGAAGTGTGAATCTTTAATTTAATTTATTTAACGCTACACAATAATAGTAAAAAAGTAATAACGACACGTTATTCGTTGTGTGTTTTATAAAAAGAGTAATATGTATTTTAAACATTACGTACACGGTACACGGCCAAAAAAATTCGTCGTACGTATAATGTTTTATTCGGTATAAAAAGTCAGTGCAGAACATACGTATATATAGACGTATAGTGCGTATATATTTTTTTATGAACGCACGTTAATCAATATTAAAAATTCAAAAAGTTTTATTGGCTTGTAATAACGTGAAACATTGTAATTTTCCGTTTTATAAACTGTGCGCTTATCCAATTTTAATCGGGTGGCTTACATGTTATATAGCTTGTAGCTACGTATGCATCACATTGAACCAAACATGAGCGAAACCAACCATTTTCTGAGGCTAACATTTTTATTAAACACATAATATACTGTATTTTATGTGCATATATGTATTATGTATAAAGTATATACATATATTGTATATTGTATTTACGTTATCATCATTTTAAGGTTATATGTTACGCCTACTCATTACAATATTTATTTTATATATGATAATGTTTTAAATTTTTTTTTTTCAATATTTAATAACTCATCTTATGCAAATAATATACTCACATATTATATACGTTAATAATATGACATGGGCTAAATTCTAAGAATTGTATGATACTTTTGTAAAAAATACGTATATAAATTATTATGAATAAACAATATTTTGGTGGGTCAAAAGTAGACACTTCTCAATGTTTTTGAAATAATTAGGGAAAAAATACTAATATGTTAAAATAGTAATACCTATTATAAATGAAATGATTGTCTGGTAACCACTCTTGGTTAAAAAAAAAATAAAAAAATWAAGATAATACACACCATTGTGAGATCAATACATCATTCTGCTCCGATTCTAAAATACAATAATTTAATATAATATCCATATTTCGTCTATAGGATAGATTTGAACCTTTATTTTTTGCCCTATTGATCATGTTTAAAAATTGTTTAGCGCTCTGTACCTACATACCCATCACATATACCTGCTTCTATATTATCTTGTAACATAGGTAACTACCTATATAACGAAATAGGATGAACAGTTTTAAGGATATTTGCACTTTGAAATATACTTAAACCTATTATTTAATTAGTAAAAAAAAAAAATGTTTAATTAAGCATTCTTTATATTATAGCATGTTTTTGTTTTTCGTTTTGCAGCGATAAAAATGTCGGAGCAGTCGGAAGGGGTGAACAACAACAAATGGCTGTTGGGCCAGGGCCAGAATTACACGCAGCTCCATCACCAGCTTCAGCAACAGTGCGGTGGAGGCACTGGCGGCGGTGGYGGTGGAGGCGGTGGCGGTGGTGGAGGAGGCGGAAACGGTTCACCGGGAAACAATTCGCCGGCTCACAAGATGAACGGTGGCGGTGGCGGCACACACAATCACAATCACCACCATCACCACCACTCACCGACGTCGCATCACCAACAATTCGCACACCACCCGTTCAGCCTGTTGGGCGCTGCTGGTCCGGCCGGCTACCTGCTCGGTTCCGACTCGCTCAAGGTTACCGGCGGCGGTGCAGGCGGTGGACCAGCCGGATCCAATCACGTTTTGTTCTGAACTGCGCTACATTGAACCGCGGGCAAACTTGGTTACTACAATTACAATAATATTAGGTATAATATTATTAARCCATAACAATAAAAAATAGATACAAAAGCATTAGTATACACTRAAAMTTCAGAACACTTCTCCGCCACAATAGCGGTGCCCACAYATACACATGACGTACGATTATCAACAATCGCATTTCACCATTTTGTACATAATAATATTATTATAAATCATATAATATGCGAAAATCATTTATATATTGTATACAGTGTTGTTAATAGATAATGTAAGCAAAGTATTGTCTTACGCGTTGGGAAGATTTATACCATAAATTTTATTTTATTGTAAACTTTTATTTTTATCTTTTTAATTTATATTTTGTTTTCCTCTCATCGAATATGATAATTTTTCAAGTAAGTGTTAATAGTATATGATATGTTGAGATTCATTATAGGTAATTATATCCCTATAAATAATATATAATAGCAGGAAAGAGTATAGGCGCATACAACATCAAAAACCGTCATAAGTCATCGCGTGATGTTATTATACAATTGTATAGCTTTTTTTTTCAAATTAGAACCGACAACAGAGGAGGATCTGTTTGCACAATACTACTCCTCTGCTGCCAACAGTTGTATAGCTTATAAGTTTATGCTATACTATCGTATCCGTCGCTGTAGTGGGCGATGTCCGAGATGTTGCCCGGAAGTGGATCTATGAACGGTTGTCTTGTAGCCCACCCATCCATTTCGAATATCTTTGTGTTGCTGAAGAGAGGTGATGGTCGTCGGTTTTGACAGAAATCGCGCGCACRATAATATCCGAAAATATTAACACCCTCCATAGTCCATCGCATACTTTCACACGTGTCCATATTTATTAATTTATTATGGTTTGTTTGTAGCCCGACAGTTTTCGGTCGGTATTGTGCAACGCGACAACCATTTATACTATATGTGTGTGTATCTATGTATTATAGATATATATAGGTATATAATATATTATATGGACACGGGGCGGGTACCTTACGGCCAACCCCAAAAAGTATATATAAACACGCCCCTCGAATTTCCTGTTATGTTTAAGTGTAGGAGAAAACGACGCACATCAAAGTGCACTTCGATGGTCGATAATACTACACCACCCGCGTA